ACTGTGATCTATTAAACACTCTTCTGCTGAGCCCCTAGTTGCTATATCACCTGTTAAAATCCTACATCTGTCTCAGCCATTATCTGTGTCCCTGCTGCAGCCTGAGCACATTAACAAAGTAAAACTACCCAATTAGCGGAAGTCTCGTTGTAACGCGATACTCCTGCGCATGCGTAAAGGTTGGAAATTTTACGATAATTATCATATTTGTACGATGGGTTTAATGGTGTGTACAATATACGATAGTGACTTTGAAATGTATGATATTTTTGCCTTTTCACTCCTGTACTGTAATAAATCAATTCTTAAAGTTTCTACTATCGACACCTTGTTGACTAAGCTTCTTTTTGCTTGCTTCTGGTAAACAGCAAACACTTAGGTCTGGGCACGAGTCCACCCATCTGGACGAAGTGACACAGATCGTAACTGAAGATTATATATATATATATATAGAGAGAGAGAGAGAGAGAGCGAGAGAGAGAGCAGACTTAAACTAACACAAAAGTAACCCACAAAATTACATCAATATTAAACTAAGTCGTATTTTAATAGAACTTGTACGATAATTTTGGGGTAAGTACGATATTTCTGACTTACCGGTACGATACAGGAAAGAATTTGTTAGTCTTAAAGTGAGAGTGGTGGGTGTGCTGTCTCAGAACTACTGACCATTCAACGTGTTTTTGTAAATAATGACGCTGTTGGTGACACTTTTCATGGCCTTAGGTGTTCTGTAAACATCCGTAAAGTCTTGAAAGTGTGATGCAGACTGTCATTATTGTGAAGAAAAACATGTTTGGTCTTTTCACGAACGATCAACATTGGTAAGACAAAGGTGAGGTTAGGTTAGGTAAAGTAAAGTTAGGTCAGGTCAGGTTAGGTTTGGTTATGTTAGGTTTGCTTAGGTCAGTTCAGGTTAGGTTAGGTTTGGTTGTTAGGTTTGGTTAAGTTTGTTTAGGTCAGTTCAGGTTTGGTTGTTAGGTTTGGTTAAGTTTGTTTAGGTCAGTTCAGGTCAGGTTAGGTTTGCTTAGGTCAGTTCAGGTCAGGTTAGGTTTGGTTGTTAGGTTTGCTTAGGTCAGTTCAGGTCAGGTTAGGTTTGGTTATGTTTGGTTTGGTCAGTTCAGACTCCCAATTCCTCCATAGATGTAATTTTTGGTAAATTTGTATAAGTGCACCCAACTCTATTGGAAAGTCAAAAATATATTTTCTAGTGTATTTATGTGTGTTTAGATCGGTTATGACCTTCATTTCCGTCGGAAATTGGCCGGGTTTTTTTCGATTTATTTTTGGTGGGGCGTTTCCCGAAAAAATAATGGCTAAGCGAATACAAAATACACAAAAACACACTAGAAAAAGATAAACCTGACCTGACCTGACCTGACCTGACCTGATCTGACCTGACCTGACCTAACTGACTTTCACCATGTGATGGAACCACTTATTTCTTTCCTTATTGGCCTGGTTCTCGTTCGTCGTTGGAGTTACCACAATGCCACACATGTTGGTCTTGACGATACTTACATTCGTTCTTGCACTAAGGACACTTCACTGGGGTCGGGAGAACACCATGAGATCTAAAAATGCTATAGTTTCTTCGTTTCTCCCCCCAAACTCACACTCGGCTCCATATAATTGAAGTGACACCCATCACAGACTTCCATGGTCGGAAATGAATTTGAATTTCGAAATATGAGACCCAAAATAAAAATCGAATTTGATTGGGCCAAAAATACCGCGAATTAAACCAGAAATCATTTGAATTGGCTAAAAAAAAACCCCGCTATTGATGGCCGCGTGACGTGTACGGGAACGAATGCGTGTGATGATTTATTTAGGAGATACAATAATACCATTTTTTTTGTACTAAACTAAGACTTTTTACCTTCGTGTCAATATAATATTTAAAAATGTATAATCTTATGGTGAAATAATCCAGGGTGCCTAATCTTCAGATGATCCAAATTATCTCTAGGTTTTTGTGTGAAATTCTTCCACCACCTCTCTCACGGAAAACAAACCTTGTCTAATTGTCTCCTTCTCATCCACGAACCCTAAGACTCATGAACCTGTGAATGCGAGACATGACACGACCCATAGCATCATGTCTGGGCCTAACACTGTATCATCATGTCTCGGATTAGCAGGTTCATAAGTCTCAGGGTTCGTGGATGGAGGACTGACAGAACCCACATGCCTTTACTCTCTGGAAAAACTGACAAAGTTAGTAGTAGAGAATATAAAAAAATAATGTAGGTGGTTCAAGAAGAAATTAATTCATACGTATACACAGAGACATGATAAAGAGGAAGATAGAGGAAAAATCGACTCCCTGGATACCGTAAAGGGATCGTCTTACAAGGTGATCGAAAACTCCCTGTGAACCTCCAATAATATAATCAACAATATATATTTTTTCCTTTGTAATACCTACATTATTATATACATTGTTCTACTTATAATAAATATTGAAAATAGTATCCCATTCCAACATTTACTGTAACCAATTCCAATATTTACATAAGTAGAAAATGGTAAATAACTACATTTTGAATTATTTCGTGTGCACAGGGACTTTTGGACCACCCGGGAAAAGCTTGTGTGGTCGAGTTTGAATCCATAAACCGGGAGCAAGAAATTAACGTAACGAAATGTCTTATAATTTATTTGATTATTTAAAAGTCATAATATTAGTGATCGGTAGTACATGTTTCTGAAGTGTTGTGTTGAGTGTGTTGTGTTGCGTGTGATGTGTTGCGTGTGTTGTGTGCTGTGTTGATTGTTGTGTTGTGTGTGTTGTCGTGTGTTGAGTTTTGTGTTGAGTATTATGTTGTGTATAGTATGTTGTGTTGAGTGTGGTGTGTTGTGTTGAGTGTGTTGTGCTGTATGTGTTGTGTTGAGTGTTCTTTTGTTGTGTTGAGTGTGTTGTGTTGTTTGTTGTGTTGAGTGTGCTGTGTTGTGTTGAGTGTGTTGTGCTGTATGTGTTGTGTTGAGTGTGTTGAATGTGGTGAGTGTGTTGCATTGTGTTGAGTGTTTTTACTGTGTTGAGTGTGTTGAATGTGGTGAGTGTGTTTTACTGTGTAGAGTGTGTTGCTGTGTTGAGTGTGTTGCTGTGTTGAGTGTGTTGCTGTGTTGAGTGTGTTGCTATGTGTTGGGTGTGTTGCACTGTGTTGTACTGTGTTGAGTGTTGCTGTGATGTGTTGAGTGTGTTGCTGTGTGTTGAGTGTGTTGCTATGTGTTGAGTGTGTTGCAGTGTGATTTTATTTAATGGTGTGTGAGTGTGTGTGTTGTGTGTGTGTGTGTGTGTTGTGTGTGTGTGTGTGTGTGTTCGTGGTGCACAGCGATTTGATATCGGCCCCAAAAATGTATATATTATTTAATTAAAACACACACACACACACACACACACACACACACATACACACACACACACACACACACACACACACACACACACACTCACACACTAGGATCTCATATAGTCATCGTGTTCAAAAGCCAACTTAAACCCACCTACATATATTAAGAAAGTGTTATAACAAATGTATAGGCTATATTAAGGTGGACTTTATAATAACTTCAGCTGCTTCAGGCTATAGTGACCTGGAGACGGCAAGAGGTGGTGGTGGTGGTGGTACAGTGTGTTGTTAGCTGCAGTAGTCAGGGGTGTGTTGTTAGCTGCAGTAGTCAGGGGTGTGTTGTTAGCTGCAGTAGTCAGGGGTGTGTTGTCAGCCAACATCCTCACCCACATCGTCACCAACATCCCCAACAACATCCTCGCCACCATCCTCACTAACATCCTCACTAACATCCTCACCAACATCCTCACCAACATCCTCACCAACATCCTCACCAACATCCTCACCAACATCCTCACCAACATCCTCACCAACATCCTCGCCAACATCCTCGCCAACATCCTCACCAACATCCTCACCAACATCCTCACCAACATCCTCACCAACATCCTCGCCAACATCCTCGCCAACATCCTCGCCAACATCCTCGCCAACATCCTCGCCAACATCCTCACCAACATCCTCACCAACATCCTCGCCAACATCCTCACCAACATCCTCACCAACATCCTCACCAACATCCTCGTCAACATCGATCCCCACCAACATCCTCGCCAACATCCTCGCCAACATCCTCACCAACATCCTCACCAACATCCTCACCAACATCCTCACCAACATCCTCGCCAACATCCTCGCCAACATCCTCGCCAACATCCTCGCCAACATCCTCGCCAACATCCTCACCAACATCCTCACCAACATCCTCGTCACCAACATCCTCACCAACATCCTCCAACATCCTCGTCACCAACATCAACATCCTCGTCAACATCCTCGCCAACATCCTCACCAACATCACTCATCCCAACATCCTCACCAACATCATGACCAACATCGTCACCAACATCCACCAACAACATCCCTCATCAACATCCCGCCAACAACCAACATCAACATCCTCAACATCCTCGTCAACATCCTCGTCAACATCCTCACCAACATCCTCACCAACATTCTCGCCAACATCCTCACCAACATCTTCACCAACATCCTCACCATCATCCTCGCCAACATCCTCACCAACATCTTCACTAACATCCTCACCAACATCCTCACCAACATCCTCGTCAACATCATCGCCAACATCCTCACCAACATTCTCGTCAACATCCTCACCAACATTCTCGTCAACATCCTCACCAACATCCTCACCAACATCCCCGCCAACATACAGTGTTTTACCTGATTGAATGTAATGTCTCAACCAGTCATGCATAGTAAGTCTGTGTGTTAGACATATAATGAGTTACCTGTACATCACCACTCACCTGTACATCACCACTCACCTGTACATCACCATTCACCTGTACATCACCACTCAGGGTAAATAAGAGGTCGTCCTGCGCAGGTCGCCCTAGCCTAGTGCCACCTGCTACCTATATAAACACAGAGGCGTCAAGAACTTTGTCACTTTCTCTACAGACAAGAGAGCGTCAACACCACAACCCCGTCTCTCACGTGAGTCTTCCTGCTGTTGGCTACTTTTCCAGGTTAGTTAAATTCAGATGTTTTCACTGATAAATCATGCTGTCATAGGTATAATTACTGTATATCTATAATTCGTATATTGGAGTACACTACATGCAGTATATACTTCGTAAACATAGTGACTGTGGTTTATGTGTGTGTGTTTGACAGTTGTATGTACGCGCGTGTGTGTGGATCCAAAACCTGAATTCAAAACACTTTAATAATATTTCCTTTACACTCAGTCGTAACATTTCAATCCTCAACTTAGAAATTCTTCCCAGATATCTGTCGAAACTAAAAGATTCTGTGATTAATCTTGTTTTTTTAGTTTGAACGAGACTTAAATATTCAGCAAGTAATATTAGATCAATATAGTCATAATGTCAAGGTCACAAGAAGATATGAGGTCAGGGAGATGTGTTAGGGGTCACCAGGAGAGGTCTAAGGAGGGGGTTGCGTATAAATGTTGTGACGTGGTATGTGTAGGACCCTCTGAACTGTGTTGTGTTCGTGGATATTATGGCAACATTCGCTACATCTCTCGTCTTGACACCAAAAAGGACATAATGTTGGAGTGTGTGGCCATATGTCTGGTCACACACTGTACATTTATTCTTGTTCACATCTGCTTGAGGAACATACTGCCAATGTGTGTGGCCATATGTCTGGCCACACACTTTATATTTAGTCTTGTTCACATCTGCTTGAGGAACATACTGCCAGAGGTACTTATATCCTAACCTTAGTCTAGCGGTTACAACATCTTGTAATCTAGTGATCTTGTTTCTTGCTCCATTAATTTTTACTTTACTTTTTCTTTTATCCTCTTCACTGATCGGCTCGTTAGCTGCTTGGGCGATCGGTCACGTCTCTGTTACGCACTGTTGGCAAGTACTGGGCATGCACCGGCTCCTGAATGTACCTGAACCCGCTCCAGTGTTGGTCAAGTCTGGTCTTGAAAGAGCTCACACTCGGTGCCGTCACAACACTTTCTGGTAGATTCTTCCAAGAGTTCACAACTCTCACAGTTTTCTGGGCTTCCTGCTTCTTTAACCTTGAGCTGTGACCCCTTGTGGGCAAGCGTCCGCCAGCTCCAGGTAAGGGCACTCGACTGAGTAGTGTTTTGAGATGTTTATACACCTCAGTTAGGTCACCCCTTGCCAAGTCTGTAGTATAAGCTAGGCAGTTGCAGGTGCTTTAATATCTCAGGGGAGTTGAGGTGCCGTAGTGCAGGCATGGCCCTCCTTTGGACATTTTCAATCAACTGACAGTCCCTGGCATATCTCGGGGACCAGACGGGATATACACAACATTGCAAAAGCTGCCTCCCGAAAGCTGGGAATTCTGTACGGATGCTGTAGCTACTTCACTCCTGAGCAGTTGCTCCAAGTATATAAGGGATTCATTCGTCCTAACTTGGAGTACTGCTCTCGTATCTGGGGTGGCTCTTCTTCTGTCCAACTGTTAGATAGGGTGGAATCAAAGGCATTTCGTCTTATTAACTCTCCTCCTTTAGTTTATAATCTTTCTTCCCTTTCTCTTCGCCGCAATGTTGCTTCACTCTCTCTCTTTTACAGGTACGTTAACGGGCAATGTTCAGTGTATTTGGCATCCTGTGTACCGCCGGCAAGGCCGTGGGTTCGTAACACACGTCTTGCCCGCGGTGCCCACCGTTTCTCTGTGGATGTCGGTCACACGAGAATAACCCGTTATAGTGCCTCCTTCTTTCCTCACACAGCCAAACTGTGGAATGCTCTGCCTTCTTCTGTGTTTCCATACTCATGCAATCTGTCTGACAGACCTAGATTGTATTCAACAGCGAGTTTGGTGAGGGCATCAACTGTCATGTTCTCTGAGGCCTATGTGAGAGGGTATCCACAACAGTTTGATCTTGACTAGCGCGTGACAACTTGGGTAGAGGGTGTGAAGGAGAGAGAGAGAGAGAGGGTAATGGTGAGACTGTCAGTGTCATCAACAGATTTAATGGCTGGAGGGATAGATGGTGTGTGTGTGTGTGTGTAGGTTAGGTTACAGTAGGTCAGGTCAGGTCAGGTTATCCAAGGCCAGGTCAAGAAAGGTGTTCGTTGACAGTAAAGTAATAAGAAGGAAGAAAATTGAAACATCTTTGGAATAAAAAAAAAATAAGTGGAATTTTTTTTACAGTGAATCCTCCACATAACGGACTTCCATCTTCATATAATCCGTTAAAAAGAGGTTTCACATCTAACGGACCTTCCATCTAACGGACTTTCTCCTCTATAAAGTTCGCTAATGAGAGGGAGGTATTAGCTTTGATATATTATATACAGTTTATGTTAGTACATTAAGTGTGACGTAGGAAGAGGCACTGTGACGTAGGGAGAGGCACTGTGACGTAGAGAGAGGCACTGTGACGTAGGGAGAGGCACTGTGACGTAGAGAGAGGCACTGTGACGTAGAGAGAGGCACTGTGACGTAGAGAGAGGCACTGTGACGTAGGGAGAGGCACTGTGACGTAGGGAGAGGCACTGTGACGTAGGGAGAGGCACTGTGACGTAGGGAGAGGCACTGTGACGTAGGGAGAGGCACTGTGACGTAGGGAGAGGCACTGTGACGTAGGGAGAGGCACTGTGACGTAGAGAGAGGCACTGTGACGTAGAGAGAGGCACTGTGACGTAGGGAGAGGCACTGTGACGTAGGGAGAGGCACTGTGACGTAGGGAGAGGCACTGTAGGGAGAGACACCAGACGTAGGAGAGGCAAGCACTGTGACGTAGAGAGTCACTGGGGACGTAGGAGAGGCACTGTGACGTAGGGAGAGGCACTGTGGACGTAGGGAGAGGCACCAGACGTAGGGAGGCACTGTGACGTAGGGAGAGGCACTAGACGTAGGAGGCACCGTGACGTAGGGAGGCACTGTGACGCAGGGAGGCACCGTGACGTAGGGAGAGGCACTGGTGACGTAGGGAGAGGCACTGTGACGTGGGGAGGCATTGCATGTAGGGAGAGGCATCAGACGTAGGGAGAGGCACTGTGACGTAGGGGAGGCACTGTGACGTAGGGAGAGGCACTGTGACGTAGGAGAGAGGCACTGTGCGGAGAGAGGCACCAGGACGTAGGAGAGGCACTGTGATGCACGGAGAGGCACTGTGACGTAGAGAGAGGCACTGGGTAGACGTAGAGAGAGGCACTGTGACGTAGGGAGAGGCACTGTGACGTAGGGAGAGGCACTGTGACATAGGGAGAGGCACTGCGACGTAGAGAGAGGCACTGTGACGTAGGAAGAGGCACTGCGACGTAGAGAGAGGCACTGTGACGTAGGAAGAGGCACTGCGACGTAGAGAGAGGCACTGTGACGTAGGAAGAGGCACTGTGACGTAGGAAGAGGCACTGTGACGTAGGAAGAGGCACTGCGTAGATAAAGGTGTGCCAAGGAATGACACAAGCGAGTTAGGTTTCTCACCAGGTATTTCGGAAAGGTGAGAGGGTAGCTTGGTGACACCTGGCCTCTCTCTCTCTCTCTCTCTCTCACGTACACTTTCATCCTACTCTCTCCCCCATCGTACTCAAGTGGTTAAGTCATCGTACTCAAATGGTACTAAAGGGGTTAACTCACCGTACTCATTATCCATACATTCGGATTATCAACACTTTTTCGATTACTTCTTCTTCCGTTTTCTCTTATTTTCTCCATATTCTCCTCTTTATTCATTTACTTAACATCTGTTTTATCTAGACTTATTAACTTCAAGAATACATTGGTACAATATAGTAAGAAAATTAGACGTATTGTATTATCGTCAACATCTTTTCATTGCGTCTATATTTGTCAGGCTGTTGATTGTCATTTGTTTTTTGTTGTTCTCACGTCATTTATTGTTTGTTTATCCGCCATTTGATGAACACAGAGTTTTATAGGTTCTTTAATCTACACATAGTATGATATTATCCTCCCAACCTAACCTAACGACCAGGCTGGCAGGTGCATACTATCTCCCGACGGTAGTGTTGTGTTGGTTATCAGAGGGAGTACACACACACACACACCCACCCTCACACACACCCACCCTCACACACACCCACCCTCACACACACCCACACACAAACACACCCAATCACCTACACTACCCGCACCTCCCTACCAATTTTCAGCACTATATTTAAAACTATCCTCGTAATGTGCCTTAGGTCACACTCGACTTACAGGTCACACTCGAGTTACAGGTCACACTCGAGTTACAGGTCACACTCGAGTTGCAGGTCACACTCGAGTTGCAGGTCATACTCGACTTACAGGTTAGAGAAAATGAGAGGTAAGAAAGCGCCTCCGTTCGTGGATGAAAAGAATTTTATTTCTGCCTGCATTCTTCGGACCCACACACACCCACACACACACCCACACACTCCTGTCAACAAAAGATTCACTTCACTATGTCAAGTGTATCGGTGAGTGACTCAAAGTTCTTAGATGAAACACTTGAAGGAAGAGCACCAAAATAAAGTGAATCACAACTCCACTTTATGACACTTGCAGGACTTTGAAGTGAGGGCCTTAGTATGAGTGGGTATAGAGTGGGGGGAGGGTATAGAGTGGGGAGATAGGGGGGAGGAGGGGGAGGTATAGAGGGGGGGACAGAGGGGAGGGGTATAGAGGGGGGGAGGTAGAGGGGAGGGTAGAGGGGAGGGCAGTGGGGGGGAGGTAGAGGGGACAGAGGGGGAGGTAGAGGAGGAGGTATAGAGGGGTGTAGAGGTGTGGGGGGGTATAGAGGAGGAGGGGTAGAGGGGGAGGTTGGAGGAGGGGAGGTATAGAGGAGGAGGGAGGAGGGGGGAGGGGTAGAGTGGGGGAGGAGTAGAGTGGGGGGGCAGGAGGGGGAGAGGCAGAGGGGAGGGGTATAGAGGGGGAGGCAGAGTGGGCTGGAGGGAAGAGGGGAGGTAAGAGGGGGAGGTAGAGAGGGGGAGGCATAGAGTGGGGAGGCAGAGTAGGGAGGTATAGAGGGTGAGGGCAGAGGAGGGAAGGATTAGAGGCAGAGTGGGGGAGGGTA